TAACAAAGCACATAACGTTTCAACACAATTTACACGTGTCATTTCATCTGATGACGACACGTGTAAATTGTGTTGAAACATTATGTGCTTTGTCATTTCATCTGATGACGACACGTGTAAATTGTGTTGAAACATTATGTGCTTTGTCATTTCATCTAATGACGACACGTGTAAATTGTGTTGAAACATTATGTGCTTTGTCATTTCATCTGATGACGACACGTGTAAATTGTGTTGAAACGTTATGTGCTTTGTCATTTCATCTGATGACGACACGTGTAAATTGTGTTGAAACGTTATGTGCTTTGTCATTTCATCTGATGACGACACGTGTAAATTGTGTTGAAACGTTATGTGCTTTGTCATTTCATCTGATGACGACACGTGTAAATTGTGTTGAAACGTTATGTGCTTTGTTACTAAAGAAGTGAGTTATACCATAATATATCCCTTGTGTTTTTTGTTATATTTACTCTCCACTTCTAAATGTCGTTCAAATCTTATCTCAGTAATGATATCTTGTTCTACTTACATTACCATCTTCCATTCTACCAGGCATAGCTGGTGTTATAATCTCTAACGCTTGTCTTACTACTGATTTAGCTTCTAGAGCATGTGCTTTCAATAAACTATGAAATACCTGTAAAAAAACAGAAATCCAGTTTAAAGTTGGGGAAATAATAAAATAATAACAAGCAACTTCAAGCAGTGTGAAATAACCAAGCTTATTCATACAAAGATAAGAAAACCTATTATCTTAAAACCTTAATTAAAGATGGGTTTCCTTATTTTTTAGTGTCAAATTAAGCAAACTATTTGATTAATTGGTGTTTCTAATGAATTATCGTGTATTCTTAGTCATATCATTATGTTCTTATTGCATATAATTAAGAGTTTAGCCAATCATAAATGTCCATGTAATTACAGTCTGGATAAACAAAAAAAGACTTTTTGATCTTTCTTGATTGGTCACTTATTGGAATTCTGCGGGTATCTCTCTTCTAATTAGCTAATTATGAATTAATTATGGACATGTGAGACAAACTGGTATTTTTCCTGGTCATTAGAACACCTCTACTTTCTATTCATATAAGTATTAGCATTTTCATTTTCATCAATGAAAATAAGGGAACCCATCTTTAAGCTAATCTTTTCGTAAAATTCAGTAAATCTTGAAAAATAATTGGCTTACTTGTAATACAATACGTTTGTGTATAGCAAATTTAGCTATAATATGAGCTAACAATAAATGGCCATGATATTTGGTAGCCGGATCTACACAACCCCTAGTAACAAGACATGGCCAGGCAAACGTCATCAGTCTTCTTAACTTGTTTCCTTGTTTTCTAGAAATGAAAATAACGCAAAATAATAGATGAAAATGTCACCTGTTAATTTTTATCATGTCCTAAAACTGGCTATAACATCCCTAAAGCTGTAGTAGTTTTACAGAAAGGGGGGTGGGGGGTACAATTATGGTGAGTATGGGATGCAGACACCTTCCCTACCTTATCTTTTTGCCAGGATTGTCTGGTGCTGTAAAACCCCCCTTTGATAAGTCTCTGGCCCCTTTTTGCAAACCCTAACTCCCGACACTTAATAATTCAAATGGCCCCTTTTTGCGAACCCTAACTCTCAACACTTAATGATTCAAATGGCCCCTTTTTGCAAACCTTAACTACCGACACTTAATGATTTAAATGGCCCCTTTTTGCAAACCCTAACTCCCGACACTTAATGATTCAAATGGCCCCTTTTTGCAAACCCTAACTCCCGACACTTAATGATTCAAATGGCCCCTTTTTGCATAATTCAAATGGCCCCTTTTTGCGAACCCTAACTATCCACACTTCATGATTTAAATGGCCCCTTTTTGCAAACCCTCACTTCCAACACTTAATGATTCAAATGGCCCCTTTTTGCAAACCCTAACTCCCGACACTTAATGATTCAATTAGCCCCTTTTTGCAAACCCTAACTACCGACACTTAATGATTCAATTAGCCCCTTTTTGCAAACCCTAACTCCCGACACTTAATGATTCAAATGGCCCTTTTTTGCAAACCTTAACTACCAACACTTAATGATTCAAATGGCCCCTTTTTGCAAACCCTAACTCCCGACACTTAATGATTCAAATGGCCCCTTTTTGCAAACCCTAACTACCGACACTTAATGATTCCATTGGCCCCTTTTTGCAAACCCTAACTACCGACACTTAATGATTCAAATGGCCCCTTTTTGCAAACCCTAACTACCGACACTTAATGATTCAATTGGCCCCTTTTTGCAAACCCTAACTCCCAACACTTAATGATTCAATTGGCCCCTTTTTGCAAACCCTAACTACCCACACTTAATGATTCAAATGGCCCCTTTTTGCAAAACCCTAACTACCGACACTTAATGATTCAAATGGCCCCTTTTTGCAAACCCTAACTACCGACACTTAATGATTCAAATGGCCCCTTTTGTAAACCCTAACTACCGACACTTAATGATTCAAATGGCCCCTTTTTGCAAACCCTAACTCCCAACACTTAATGATTCAAATGGCCCTTTTTTGCAAACCTTAACTACCAACACTTAATGATTCAAATGGCCCCTTTTTGCAAACCCTAACTACCGACACTTAATGATTCAAATGGCCCCTTTTTGCAAACCCTAACTACAGACACTTAATGATTCAAATGGCCCCCTTTTGCAAACCCTAACTACCGACACTTAATGATTCAAATGGCCCCTTTTTGCAAACCCTAACTACCGACACTTAATGATTCAAATGGCCCCTTTTTGCAAACCCTAACTCCTGACACTTAATGATTCAAATGATAACACCACTGCCAGGAACTTACTTATTAGCAGCATCATGAATATGTGGTGAAGCTTGTTCAACCAGTAATGATGAGAACTGTAAGAGTAGGATCCGAACAGCGTCAGACGTGGCAAAGGGGTTATCAGGGTCAATAATTCTATTTATAAACACACTGATGATATTCTCTTCGTTGTCCTGTTCAGGAGCAGGTGGACCCCCTATCAACTTATCACCATCACCATTCTCAAACGAAGCTTGGAAACTTGGTATCAATATCATCTGTAATATCTGAAATATAACATTATTTTTGTAAATCAAGGGCAATAACTCTTGATCTATTTATCAAAATATTGTCACCATTATCCTCTTTTTACGGAGCCCATGATCCTTCAGGTCAGTGATATACCTAACTTACCTTCGCTTTTAAATCTTGAGGCCATGTTTGAAGATGAAAAACATAAACAAACTTGAAGAATGCATTTCGTTTCCATTCTACATCATATTTCTACAACAAAAAATTGTATACAGTAAAATAAAAAATCAACAAGTGGTTGGTTAGCAAGATACGCCCTCTTTCCTGATACATTTTCAGTATATCAAGGGCAGTCACCTATCTGTGTCAAATCATA